GTAAATAGTGGCTACGCGTAATCCACACGCGGAGTTTCCATCCGAGGTATAGGAAGGTTAATGAATTCATCTGAAACGAGACCGAGATAGTTACGAGTGCAGATATCCAGAAAGCTTCTATGATCTTTTTATTTTCTTTCAGAATGTTACATGAGTCATAAAGTACGTTTTAGACATAGCTATGGTTGCTGCCTCAGACGGAAGCTGTCATCATCTTCGATTTTGAGGATGACTTATAGGATCGCGACTGCTAGGGCCTGGTGAGTAGAAAAAAGGGGAAATATTAAGGTTTTTCATGACAGGAAAAGTACATTCTCAAGTTTCCCCAATAATTGTTTGAATATGTTATTGCTTGTCCAAGAAAGGAAATGGCAGCACAACGACGTTTTCATAAGTTTTGAAAAAACACAACTAAACTAGCAACTCGTAGGGATAATCCAGAAATCGATTATTTTACAAACGTTTACAGGTATACGGACGACTTTTTTCACTGGTTAATTGGGGCTTATTTGTGTGACCATTTGCTGGATTGCAGCAGGTCTGTGTGCAGCGCCTTCAATTATTAAGCTAGATACTAAGAAAGTTTCTCAAATAAATAAACTCTGAATGAATTCATCCTATACTTTTATCGGAAAGATGAAAGGACTTGATCGAATAGGGAGAGGCGAAGTGAACTACGTGTATACATAAACAACGAAAAAGGCACAGCGCACGTACACAAACACCAGTAAGGTCGAAGCAGCCTGGTTTGCCCTATCTTTGAGGAGATCGGAAACATCGACGGTCCAGCAACAACGCCTACAACTTCCGACTGGTTTCCAGTGGCGTATAACTGTCTGCAGTAGGCCAACAGCTCGGAAGGAGTTTTCAGACAGGTCCTGTTTGTGGATTCAAGTGTCTCCTCGGAAACGGCGGTCGTTGTTGATAACTCAAGGGCACTACTACCGGATGGTGGAGTATAAAGAAGAAAATTGTCGCATTCCGTCAGAATACTGCCATGGACGATCGGAATCTGGTGCGACCCCGGCGGTGAGGCATTTACGGATGGACAGATCTAGGGAGACAAAGGACAGGTCATCTCATTAAATAGCTTTCTTCGTCGCAGAATCAAACAGAAAACTTATGAACGTTAAGCGACCGACAGGGTTTATATACCGTGCTAAAATGTTCGCTGCCACAAAGAAGAAAAGCCGAAAATTCGGTCCTGTTGTGTTTTGTTTATACATGAGCAGAAGCTGCGGTCGAAGACGCACACAAGGCAGTCGTGAGAAGAAGCACTTAACGGTCGAAACTTTACTTTAAGAGTGTAGCACAAAACATTAGTGCAGCAGTCAGTTGTTGCGTGGGGCACGATGCAGGTAGGATTGGTTACATCTGGTCACATCTTACTACAGGACATAGTGAAATGTACCTGCTATGAAAATGATCGAATTTACAGCTAACCGGCCTAAGGTGTTTGTAACTAGGATGTCTGTACACTTCATATATGATGTTTCATCCCGATGGTGGTAAAATATTGGCCATTTTGAGCAATTTAGAGTCATACGGGCGAACTGCGGGCAAAAATGCGATTCGGTAATTCCATCGTGTTCGCCTAAATAGGTGATAGGTTGATAGGCGATAGGTTGTAAAGATGGATCACTTGTTTCATTATCTACTGGTAGTGAATATGACATGTTTCAGTTCTAAATGTAAAACCGTATTCGGAAATTTCATATAGACTTGAAATATATCTCTTACAAATAACTCTTTTACAGACGTCAATGCTTAAGCCTGCGCCGTAGTGCCCTCCGGGTCTCTCCGAAACCCCTATTGCCCCGGATTTTCTACGGAACAATGCTGGGCTGGTGCTGGCAAGATATAGATTTGTGAGGCATTGAATCATCATAAAATTTTACCGGCAGCAGTTGCCTAAAGTGGCTACA